TTGACAGTTGAGGTAATCAAGGCTCAGAGAGTTTCAGTGACTTGCTCAAGGTTCCTCAGTTTGTAATTTGCAGAGCTGAGATTCATCCTCAGAGTGTCTGATTTGGAGTAGACTTTTAATCCAATATGTTACCTAGGGTGCCTTTCATCAGAGTCATATATAATAAAAGGAATTTGGTGGTTTCATAGGATTTTTAAAAAATTTTTACACCTGCCTAAAGGAATTTTTTTTTTGTTTTTGTCTTACTCCAAAGTCCAGTGCCTGATAATGTATATTATACTACATGTGCTTATTCTGAAAGAGCAAGTGGACACCAAACAGTAATTTTAAAATGTGAACGTAGGTAACTGGATATGGTGGCACCCACCTATAATCCCAGCTACTTGGGAGGTAGAGTCAGGAGGGTCACAAGTTCAAGGCCAAACTGGGCAACTTAGAAGACCCAGTCTCAAAACAAAAAATTAAAAGGGCTGGGGACAAAGCTCAGTAGTATACAGCGCCTGGGTTCAATCCCTAGTACTACTTAAAAAAAAAAAAGAGTATAGAGTACTGGATTCCATCCCCAGTACCACAAAAATAAATAAATAAACAAAGTGTATAGAAAGCCACTGGTAGGGGAGCCTTTGTTTGGTAACGACCTTGCTTATGTATTAAACATCTCACTGCACTCTGTGGTATTTGCTGATTGGACAACAGCTGCCCTTTAAATTGATTCTCTAATCATGGTAATAATGACTAGGATTAGGCTAGTTCAATGGGCGCATGCTTTCCCCAGGGCTCACAAAAGGCTTCTCTGCAGATCCAGGCTTTCCTGGCAATGAGGCAGTAACTAGCGGGGCTGCTGTGTTCTCCACGGGTAAACAGCAGCCCTTGGTGCAAAATGAAGGAAGTCAAGGAACAGAGGGAGGAGTCTCTGGCCAAACAGGAAAGTCACACCACACTGGGCAGCAGAGGCCTGTGAACAGCCTCCGGTTTCCTGATGTTGTGGAAATGGGTGTTTTTGTTTGAGAATGTTTAGGTAATTGAGAATCCAATGACTATAGGAAAATAGGTGATTAAACAAAAATTTGGACACAAAGGTTCATAGAAGCTCTGTTCACAATAGCCAAAAGGTGACAACTCAAATGTCCATGAAGAGATAAAGGGACAAGAATAATGTGGTATAACTGTACAGTGGAATCTTAGGAATGGAATACTGATACACGGTACCATGTGGGTAAACCTGAAAGCATTGTATAAGTAAAAGAATCCAGACACAAAAGGCCTCACAGAGTGTATAACTTCATTTATATGAAATATCCAGAATCAGCAAATGTCTAAGACTCTGGGAAGTAAGGCAGATTGGTGGGTGGCAGGGGTGGGTGCGGGGAGGTTGGGGAGTGACTGCTTGACAGGTATGGAGTTTCCTTTCGAATTGATGAAAGTGTTTTGAAACTAGATGAGCATGTCAGCTTTTTGTCTCTGTGACCAAAATACAAGACCAACTTAGAGGAGGTAAAGTTTGTTTTGAGCTCACAGTTTCAGAGGTTGCTGACTCCTTCCCTTTGGGCCTAAGGTAGAGCAAAGCATCATGGCGGAAGGTCAGTGGTGGAGGACAGCTGCTTACCTCATGGTGTGGTCAGGAAGCAGATAGCAAAAGGAGGAGCTGTTGGGACAATATAGAACCCCCAAAGGCCACGCCCCCCATGATGACCACCTCCAGCCATGCCCCACCTGCCTACAGTTACCACCCAAGTACAGTGGTCCACAACTTATGAATCCATCAAGTGGATTAATCCACTGATTGGATGTTGTGGTTTGGATGTGAGTCATCCTCCCCAGTCTCCTTTGTTTCTGCAGAATGCTCAGAGGTGAAATGACTGAATTGTGAGAATTATGAGAGGCAGGTACCATGTGGCTGGAGGAGGTGGGTCACCGGGGTGTGCCCTGAGGGTCGTTCTTTCTGTGGTCCCTCCTTCTCCCTCTGTCTCTCTGCTTCCTGACCCAGGCATGAGGGGCACTGCTTTTCTCTGCCATGCCCTTATGTCATGATGTTCCTCCTTACCTTGGGCCCAGAGCTATGGACCGAGATCTCGAAACCATGAGCCCCAAATAAACCTTCCTTCCTCCAAGTTGTTCTTGTCAGGTATTTTGGTCACAGTGACACAGATGCTAACTAAACCATCGGGTTACAGTCCTCATAATCTAATCGTTTTACTTCTGAACATTCTAGTACTGACAGAGGACCTCTTGGGGGACATCTCATGTCCAGACCATAACATTGAGCACGGATGGTTGCATGACATTGCGAATGTCCTTAATGCCCCAGAGCTGTATACTTTAAAAGATGAAAATGGTATATATTACGTGATATGTATTTGATCACTTTTTGAAAAGGGAAACCATTAGGTTACTTGTTGCTCTTGGACACAAGGACAATAAATCTCCCCCAAATAAAATTATCAAGAGAAGAAGAAGAGGTGGACCTTTGTTGATAGGAGTAAATCAGGAGAGAATGGTGGTTTGGGGGCTGCGAGGGGGCTAGTGGTGAAACCTGACTCAATGAGCCCTTTGGGGCATGGGGAGGTGACTGTGTGGGTGACTTTAAAAAGGTGGAACCTGAGAGCCTAGGCTTGGGCTCCCTTAAAGGACTGCAGTGACTGAAGAAGGCAGCCCAGTGACTTGGGTGGGTCACTGACCCAGTGGTGGCCTGTAAAAGCAGAGACTGGCTTGGTAGCATCATGAGATCAGTAGTGAGGGAGCAGCTTCCCAGTTAGACAAGCCTGTGCTGCCCAGCGTCACCTCTCTTGGCTCCCATTACTCCTGCCCTGCAGACGCTGTGTCCTGAGCTATATGAGGTCCCCATTTCTGCTTCTGTTCCTCTTGCTCCCTCCCAGCAGCTGAGGTACTAGTTCCTGACTGTCAGAGTCAAGGTTCAAGGGCAGAAGAGCCAGCAGACCATCCCCTTGGGCACCTGGGAACCCTGGGAAGACAGGAGGGGGCCACAGTGATCTAGTGGCATGTGACTTCCCCAGTTCGCATACTAATTTCAGCACAGGATACTGTTCCCCTGAACATGACGCTACCACCTCATTTTAAGTGAGCAGAGCTGATTTAGTAAGGGAGCCCCCAGCGTGGCTGTCTTTAATAGTTGACCCAGAGCTGAATGGGTGCTGGTTACCATGGCAACTTCTTTGAAAAAGTGGTCTTTCCTTTTCCAGAATGTTCCCTGACATTCTTTTGCTACTATAACTTATCTTTAAAAAAAAAAAAAGTTGACACACATCCATGTGTGTAGAGCCACCAACGTCTGGTCTTGGGGTCCACTTTGTAAGGAACACCTCCTCTGGCAAGTGGAGAGGTGGAGGGATGATTGGAACAGGGTTGGGCCTCAGTGGCTGTGGCTCTTCCAAACCCTCTACTGCTTTTGACCTTGTCCTTTATCTTAGTCAACAGGACTGCTTCGTGCCTACATACCTCTGTGCAGGCTGGCCTCTGTCCCGGACACCAGTCCACTCCACCCCTTCTCCCCAAGACTAACTCCACTTCATTCTTCAAAACTCACCTCAGGAGTCACCTCCTGCCTGACCACTCTAGGCTGGTTAGATTCCAACCCTGTTCCCTTAGACTTACTGATATCTTTATTTCCTTTTTTTTTTTTTTAAATTGGTTCTTCTTAGTTACACATTTTCCCTGGTATCTTTCTCCTGCCACTCCTTGTGGATGTTGCTCCTGTGTCCTGTTAGGCTCCTGATTCTCAAAGGCTCGTCTGCCAAAGTGTGGATCCCAGCTCCATTCCCAACTCTAAGCATTGGCAACCCAGTTCTCTCATTTATAAAAATAGGAATCGTCATTCCTGCCTCATCGGGTTATTTAATGATTTAAATTTGTAAAATAATTTTTCTTCTTATTATAGGGATTGAATTCAGAGCTGCTTCATTACCCAGCTATGTCCCCAGTCCTTTTTATTTTTTATTTTGAGCCCAGGTATCACTAAGTTGCTGAGACTGGCCTTGAACTTGGGATCCTCCTGCTTCAGCCTCATGAGTCACTGGGATCACAGGCATTTGCCACCATGCCTGGCTAAAATTTGTAAAAATACATAATGCCTAGGACATAGGAGGTATATGAGTAAAGCAAATATAATAGTTACTACAGTTGCTATTAATCATCGTCTCCTTCTCACGCCTAGCATGAAGTAGATACTCAGTCACCTGGTGTAAAGTGGATGGAGCTGGGGTTAATCTACTTACAGAGATCAATCTAGAACTGTGCTATCCAGTACAGTAGGCCCCAGCTTCATGAGGCTACCGAGCACTTATCCAGACAGATTCACTGTATGTGCAAAAATGCATCATATGCTGAATATTTAGCATGGAAAACAGAAAGTGAAATATCTCAATTTTATATTGATTACATCAATATAAATTGAATGGCTGAAATGAATGGCAAACTTTTGGATATTTTAGGTTAAATAAAACATATTCTTAAAAAATAATCTCATTTTTTAAAAAAATGAGACAGGAAATTTAAACATGTTGACTACATTGTATTTCTAGGGGATAACATAGATCTAGAATGCGCCCAACCTACCATTACTATAACAAATATTCATAAAACCTCATTTATGTTCAAACATGTGAGCTTTGGGAATGTAGATAATGCAGTTAGAGCAATGATTCCTTGAGAGTCAAAAGTGTGTCCAGTCAGGCACTGCAGCACACACCTGTAACCCCAGCAACTCAAGAGCCCGAGGAAGGAGGATTGCAAGTTCGAGGCCAGCCTGGGCAACTTATGGAGACCCTGTCTCAAAACAAAACAAAAAGAAGAAGGGCTGGGGATGTGGCTCAGTGGTAGAGCACCCTGGTCCAACCCCCAGTGCTGGGGACAGGGCAGGAATGTACCCTTATGTAAAAAATATCTCTAATTGATTAATAAAGGCTTTTCTACACAGGGTTAATAAACTAATAATGCACAGAAGTACACCGAAAAGGGACTGAAGCTTTCTGGGGCTTTTCCAGGTTCGCTGTGATCCTGAGATTCAAGAACTGCGTACCTGGCAGAAGAAGCTACGGGAGGACAAGAACATTCGCCATCGAGTGAGAATATTCTGGATGAAACAGGAGCGCAAAGGTCAGTAGCTTGGCTCACTGTCCTCAGTGTCTTCAGGAAAAGCCTGATCCTTCTTCTGAGCTCAAGAAGGAAGCCCCTGAGGCGTTATGAGGACCTCGTGTCTACACAGAACTCAATTTGTACAGGGCCAAGGGACTACATCTTAAGATTCTGCCCTGGAATGACAGAGTTGAGATTATTTACATGGTCATTTTCTTCCTTCAGGGGTGACCTTGGTGTCACCTTGTATTTTCAGGTTTTTAGTTTTTAAGCTACAAGACATAAAAAAACAAAAAACAAAACAAGATGAAACAAAAAAACAAAAGAAACCATTATTTTAGAAACAGCATATCTGCAACCATTCATTCTTTTAAATTTTTGATTGTGTGCCTGAACTTAAGTGGTATTTTGTACCTGTCTTCTCCCTTTTTGTGATGGTTACTCTTAAGTGTCAACTTGGCTGGGCCGTGGGATGTTCAGATAGCTGGTAAAATTATTTCTGGGGTACATCTGTGAGGATGCTTCTAGAATTGGGATTTGAGTTGGTGAGCTGAACAGAGCAGATGGCTTCATTTCCAAATGTGGGGGGCGTTTTAGTCAGCTTTTGCTGTTGTGGCCAAAGACCCGACAAGAACAATTTTAAGGAGGAAAAGATTATGTGGAGGCTCAGGGTTTCAGAGGTCTCAGTCCGTAGACAGCCACCTCCATTCCTCGGGAATCAAGGTGAGGCAGAATATCATGGAAGAAGGTTGTGGTGGAAGAAAGCAGCTCAGGACATGACCACCAATGAGAGAGAGAGAGAGAGAGAGAGAGAGAGAGAGAAAGAGAGTGCGAGCCCAGAATCCACTGTCCAGGGACAACTTATGTGCCCATAAAGCACACCCCCATTGACCACATCCTCAAGCCACATTCTGTCTTCATTTACAGCTTAATCCCTGTTTGGGGACTGATTTACTGACTAGTACACAATTCTTTCCCCTGCAAACCTTCTTGCATTGTCTCATGCATGAGCTTTTGGAGGACACTCATGTCCAGACCATAATAGTGGGCATCATTCAATCTGTTGAGGGCCTGACAGAGCAAAAGGTGAGGAAGGCTGAATTCACTGTGCCAATTTGAGCTGGGACGTTGGCTTTTTCCTGCCCCTGATACTCCTAGTTCTTAGGCCTTCAGACCTGAGCTGGACTCTACACCATGGGCTTCCCAGGTGCCAAACCTTTGAGGCACAGCCCAGCTTCCCTAGATCTCCCGCTTGAGGAAGGCCGATGGTGGGGCTCTCCAATCTCCGTATTCCTGTGAGCCTACGCCTTATAGTAAATCTCTTCCTTATAGCTAAGATTCCTTAATTCCCTTTCTTTCTTTCTTTCTTTGTATGTATATAATCTATAATTTCCTATTGGCACTGTTTCTCTGGAGAACCCCATTATACTTCTTTTCTACCAGGGTCACCATTTCCCTTTAAAGTTTTTTAAAAATTTTTAAACTTTCAGTTGCTACACATCCACAGTAGGGAAATTAAGAAAGCAGTAGCCAGAAAAGGAGGTAAGGCCCAGAAACCCCATTAAAACTAATGTTTTAGTGTTCATCCTGCTAAATTACTCTTTCCAGTATCAAAAATACAAATAAATATTTAGTCATGTTTTATTAAAAATTAGATTATGTATAAATTCTGTTATATGGTCTTCTTTTTCATTTAATACACTCTGAATATCATTCTGGTTATCAGCCAGAGAGGAGGTCACGATGTTTAGCACTCCATGGTATAGCTAACCAGTGATGTGGAAGGAGATTCATGATATATTTGCAAATGGAAAAAAAATCTTTGAGCTACAATTTTTTATTCAAATAGAAGATATACATATGAAAAACAGATGTCTGAGCAGTTTGGAAGAAAACCAATGATAGTTATCTTTGGAAATTTGGACCAGAGGGGAGGAAGTACAGTATTGGAGTCTTTTAAATAACCATGTAGTACTTTACAAATATGAAAACCATGGGCAAATAGTCATCCATAGCTCAGTGGACTACAAGGCATGCAAACTTTGGTCCTCTAAGTGTCCCAGACGACCCTGTACTCATACCGGCCTCAGAGGGCTACAACCCCCAGTCTCTCTCTCTCTCTCTCTCTCTCTCTCTCTCTCTCTCTCTCTTGATACCAGGGATTGAACCCAGGGGCCCTGGACCACTGAGCCACATCCCCAGCCCTATTTTGTATTTTATTTAGAGACAGGTCTCACTGAGTTGCTTAGCACCTCACTTTGGCTGAGGCTGGCCTTGAACTCACGATACCATACCCCTGCCTCAGCCTTCCAAGTGGCTGGGATGACAGGCGTGCACCACTGTGCCCAGCCGGTCTCTTTTTAGTTCTTAAAAAATGCCATGCCTTCTTACCTAGGGACTTCACGGTTCCCATTCCTATCCTGCTGTGTCACCCTTCCCAGCTTCTCCACATCCTTTAGACAGGGACACATGTCCTCAGAGAGGACTCCCTAGGTACCCTACTAAGGGTCAGGGGCAGGAATCAGTTTATTGGAGCTCTCAAGAGGGGGTGATCTAGACAAGTTTTGTTTTCGCCCCAGAACTGCCTTCAGCTCTTCTCTCTGAAGTCCCTTTCTTTCATGGCATGTTAGGGGCAGGTTGTTCCTTGTCTTTTCTGTATGCTCTGATTTCACAAAGTCTAGTCTTAAAATCTCAGTCTCAACCCCACCTTAATGCTCACCCAGCCCCTCTGCCCCTCCCCCCCCATGGGCTTGGGTACAGGAAGAGGGTTGTCTGGTCTTTGTGCCTCTGTCCCCTCCTCTTCTGAGTCTCTTCCCTCCTGTGGGTCTGGGTGGGAAAGAGGGAGATACAAAAGGACACTTTCTATTGCCATCATTTCTTGACTGCCACTGCTTCAGCCAAGCCCACTTGGCCACCTGTGACCTGTGGACAGGCCCCCCGTGTTGGCTCTCTGACTTGGCGTGTTTCATTTGGGTTTTTCCTCAGGGGAAACAGCAGGCTGCAGAGACCCCTTGTGAGGACCTACCCTGACTCCCCCTCTTCTACCACCACCTGACCCCAGTCCACTCCCAGCCTTTTTCTCTTGGGGTCTCCTTACCCAATAGCCAGACCTCTTCAGGATGGCAAAGGAAAGATAGCTACCCCTCAGAGTGGCCTCATGCTCAAAAGTAAAGGCACTAGGAAAGGGACAAGCCAATTTCGTGCGTCTCCTGATAAGAAGTGCAGAGGACACATTTCTTATGCGCTACTCCTGTCCAGAATCCATAGCTTGAATGTGATAATGAGGAAAGAGACGCACATTGAAGGACATGTTATAAAATAACTGATTCTTCAAAAAATGCCAAAGTCAAGAGTAGAGGAGACCAAAGAGACAGGGCAGGTGAATGCTGTGCACCACCCCAGACTGGGTCCTGGCCAGGGAAAAAAATTGATAAAGGACATTAAACCTGAGATTCAGGCTTCATATTAGCTAATAAGTAACAGTACTAACTTTCCTGATTTTGATCAGTGAACTCAGATCAAGTAAGAAATTGCCTTATTTATTTGTTTTCTTGCAGTGCTGAGGATTGAACCCAGGGCCTTGCCCCTGCTAGGCCAGCACTCTACCATTGATCTACGTCCCCAGGCCTCAGCTCTTGCTTAAGATACATGCTGAAGGTTTTAGGGGTCAAAGGACATGATAGGCAGATTGGTCTTAAGTAATTCAGAAACAGATAATGTGTACTACACAAGCACATGTGCATATACACATAGAAAATGTCAACGTAAATATGGTGAAATACAAAAAAATTGGTGCATCTAGGAGTTTTTTGTACAATTATTGCAACTCTTTTGTAAATTCACGATTATTTTGAGTTTTTAAGTGAAAAAAAAAAATTCCAGTGCCTCACGTCTAGAGATCCTGACATCATTGCTGTGGGTGAGCCCCAGGCATCAGTGTTGAGTGTTGATCTTCCCTGGTGCTGACGTTCAGCCAGGGTGGAGACCCTAAGGAGATGCAGGATCCCCAATTATTTTGTGCTCTTTTAAAACATGGAGTCCAGAGGCAGATGTGTTGGTGCACACACAGAAGGCTGAGGCAGGAAGATCAAAAGATCAAGGTCAGTCTGGGAAACTTAGGAAGACCTTGTCTCAAAAAAATAAAATACAAAGGGCTGAAGATGTAGCTCAGTGTAGAGTCCCCCCTGGTGTGATCACCATATTGTGGGGGGTAGGCGACAAAAACATGGAGTCCTCTAGGCGTCCAGTTCTCAGCTCTGAGCAACAAGGCAAGTCCAGCTGATGCTTGACTGGGCATCTGGGTTTTGTTTATCTGGCAGTTTTGTGTCTTCCCCATAAGAATGTAGGCTCCATGAGAAAAAGATCTGGTTTGCCTGTCTCATCCCCTGGCATAGCACCTGGCACAAAGTGAGCATAAGTAAAAATGGGATTCATGAACGGAACTGTGAGGCTTAAATGAGTCAATACCCAGAAACGGCTGCAGAGTAGGAGCACATCCCATCGGGGATCCCTCAGAGCAGCAGCTTGGGCTCTGACCACCGCTGGCTCAGCCCAGGCCACTCTCCCATGCACAACTGCCACTTCATTACACTTCAGAACTGGAAGGCAATCAGGGCTATAATCAGTTTAAAGGTCAAGGGAAGTACAGTGTCTATTTATTGCTATTTTTCCATATTCTTTGGAGTTGATTTGCTGTGGGTTGATTTGGCTTGCTATGGAGCCAGGAGAGCGGAGCAGATTGAATGGCGTTACGGGCCACCAGGAGGGCAGAGTGGAAGCAGCCAGATCTGGCCACCTGCTGCTGTCTGCCTGTGGCCTTCCTAGGGCTTCAGGAGCAGTGCTTTCTGAACAATAGGGGTCTTCAGAAAAAGCCCCAGTGTGGAACAGTGGTAGACGCCCTTTTGTGAAATGGCCAATTCTAAAGGTCGTCTCCAGGTCTGTGATCACTTGAGAGGAAATGGGGAGCTGGAGACAGAGCTCAGTGGTAGAGC